GACCCAAAGAATATGAATTCCTGCAGTCGCGAAAGCTTTAAGTCAAGATGTAAAATGAATGCATCACTGCACTTCCTCGTGGTTGTGTTAACATCGCCTACTTAGCAACTGAGGTGGAACAGTGTTGCAGTGATTAGGGCAATGGTTAGCATCAGTGATGATTGATATCACAACCTGTCCTGACCTCTGCCCTCACCAACCCACACTGACCAGGGTGGTGATTTTATATATATAATTGGGGTCGAGCTATGGCACAGCAGGTGGCGCACTGGACTATGAATCCTGTGGACTTAAATAAGAATAGGGTTTTACCCTTTTTGGCAATAAAACAGGAGGTGTTAAGCTGTTCAAACACCAAATAGAGACATTTTTCGAGGAATCAAGTTCGCATTAACCACACATACTTGTGGTGAACATGCAAACAAACATGCTCTGATTATAATTATATATGGCAATTGTCTTTGAAACGGATTGGTCTACACCAGAGACAGCCTTCTTTAGGGCCTAGTCTCACCAGGGTCAGACCAGAGAAAGACAAAAGGCGCACAGTACAAAGGCAATGCACTTCCAGAGTATTTGTAGCTCGGGGTGAGCAGTTGGTTATACAATATTCTCTGAGTCGGCCCTATGCTTCCCCCTTCCTCCAACTTGCGTTGACCAGCACAGCGAAGCATGGTCAAACAACCCCCATGACTAGCATGTATGGACGGTGAACTTCTTTCGCACCGTACATAGCGAACAATGATCGAACTATGGTAATTGGGTACGCGGATGACATGGCATGGGGAAGTCTTCATCCATCAGTGGATTCACAACGCGGTGAAAGTATAAATAATATTAATTAGCGGTGGCACAGTGGTTGGCGAAACTGCACCACGATCCTGGCAGAGTTTGATTCCTGGCCGTGGCTTACATCAGGGGCGAGTGAGATCTGAATCCCCTATACCTTCAAACCACAGACCACCGTGTTGAAGTATGGTCAAACTAGACCCCCATGACAAACACTTGTGGATTGGCAAGGGGTTCTAAATTAATGTTAGATTTTGTTTTTATTCAGCCGTTGCAGTTGATCACTTTACTGGTCCAGCCGTGGAGCTCAAATAGATCATTTAGGTCAGTCTGTAGACCCGAAGTGATGAATGGTGTACATGGTGTTGCCAGCAGTGACTATAAACAACATGTGTGTAATGTTTACCATGCAGGGCGTAGGTGCGTGTGACGAGCAGAACGGCGATAGCACTGACATAACATAACCTAAGCTCGCCTTGAGGCATCATTTCAGAAGAAAAACACAAAAAAGTACCACATGCTATGATTACAATAACACCACTTAGAGCACGGGCAAACAGCACAAGAACGATTTAAAAAAAAATATCCCATTGTTTATTTCTGTCTATATTTCGAGCAGTAACACACCGGTAAGGCAGGGGAAATTGTCTGAGCGCGTGATGATTCATTTTCTGCCGTGAATTGCTTTAAAAACATTGGTCTTCTCACCGCTATGCGACATAGACGTGAAGCTACACGAATTAATTTCGACGCTGTTTAAAGCTGAACATTGGCATGTAAACAAAAGGCTAAAGAAACCACTAAAATCCCACTTCCCTTATTTTTTTCGCCTGAAGACGGTTGCTTGTGTTGCGATCGAAACGTCGTGATATATTATTTTTTCTACCTACGTGACTTTAACGAAAGACCAAAACAAATAGCTAATCGGAGGCCATTCTAGAATTTACTGTGCAGTTAACACCTAACACCTTTAATTTTACTATCCACGATAGCGGTTTTTGAGTTAGATCGCTTAAATATAAATGTGCCGTTAAAGCTGCCACCACCCGACACAGCCAATGAGTGAGGTTTGTCACGTAAACAAAATGTGCCAATTCGTTACTAGTACAGCACACGGGTGTGCTGGAGAGTAAACCCGCAACATTTGTAATTCGAGTACGACGTTTCGCCAGTGATTACAACCAGCATCATCAGGCGACAGACAGATTTGTGGAGAAATCCTCCTGTTTTGGTCTTAAATAGAGGGATTAATGTGATGTCGTCACTTGTGAGTCAATCAGGTGCTAAGAGAATAGAGGGGGGGGGGGGGGGGGGGGGTAATGTATGTTGTATAACCCAACCATTACTGGTTGGGTTATTCAAAGGTAAATCAAAATACATTATGCATGCACACCATGCATGTACACCATGCATGTACATCCTGCCGTTGTTGGGTGCAATAAATGTCAATACTTTTTAGTGGCTGCTCACAGGTAATCCCCATCGAAGTATAGGCATGCAGTTAAACAGTGTATTCCTTGACAATTAGCTTCCAAGCAGCACTGTAGCTATCAGAATGGTCAAAATAATGTTTATTTATCTCAATTTCGATATATTTTCTCATTAGTCTTGGCCAGGAGTAACTAGTTTTGCACAGGACGTCAACCTTATCACAATCATTTGAGTATTCTTGTTGGCATGCTTGTTCTGTCACTGCCGACAGTTGTTTTTGGGAGTATGTAATATTTCTTGGGTGTTCTTTTAGTCTCGTGCTGACCATTCGTCCTGTTTGACCAACATAGCATTTGCCACAGAAGCAATTAACCCGGTACACACCTTTTGTTCATAAAAAAAAAAACCTCTATTATGGATAATATTGGTCGCGAACACCTGCGTGTTAATTCGACTATGTTCGTAAGTAAATCTTAAAAAAACATAATTGTGCTGTGCAGAGTCAGTTGCATTCACCGTGAAGCCAAAAGTGGAAGTACAATTAGCGACGTGGTGATTCTCAAAGGATTGAGAGTTCATTCGGGCTTTTTTGGTGAAATAAACAAAACTGTGAATCCCAAGGCAAAGCGAGTGGATAGGTGCAGCGTTCGGCGCATGGGTTCACCAAATGAACCTTATGGCCGTACCCCGGAGTACCATAGTTACCCCGGCTCTCGCATAATGTCTGTCATTTTTAGTCTGTTGATAGTCTGCGATGCGGCAATCGACTCATCTCGTCCTCGCTGCGTTTCGACATTGTGAAGTAGCACTGATTTCGGATTGATTGGTACCCCAGTCATGGAGTTAAGTAGACCCCTGGAAAAAAATAGTGTCCCAGAAATAAAATATTGAATTGCCTTGGCCATTTTGGATCATTTGGTACCCCGGTGTACCGCCATAAGTAACAAACGTAGCACGATAGATACATACAGCACGTGTGAATACTGTACAGTATAACTATTTGTATGCCTTAACAGACCGTTGCAAAGCTGTCAACCCCATATCAGTGGCTACCTTATTACAGACCAGTTCAGACCTTATTGGCTATTCAGTGCACTTATAAACCTCAACGTTCATCCTACAAAGTCCCATCACAAGGGAGAAACAAAAACAGACAATGTTTTTTTTTACCGAATTGAAACGGCTGTACACCGTATGGAACTGAAAACTCAATTTCCCTGTAAAGGAATACAGGTAACCCGCATGGGTTGACAGGTATGAAGTGTTGAGGCAAGTGCTGTTAGCAAGTAGCACCTATGGAGGACAGCACACGAGGGGGGTGGGTGGCCAGCACCACGTCCGGCCGCCTTTGTCTCCCCAGTGGCGATATTTGCACACCGCACCAGCTACTCATTTGAGTCTGAGTCGACCTAGGGCCCAGGACAGAGTCGAATCACCGTCACCGGTGTTGGCCGTGCGCCGGAATCGAACCCGGGTCGCCAGGTTCGTTGCGCAGCGCGGCTAACCGTTATTTACGCGACGAAACAGGAGGAGGATTTCTCCGCAAATCTGGCTGCCGCCTGATGATGCCGGTTGCAATTACTGGCGAAACGTCGCACAACCGGTGTGTGCTGCACTGTTTACGTGACAAACCCTTTACTAATTGGCTGTGTCGGGTGGTGGCGGGTTTAACGACACATTTATAATTACGTGAAATAACCGCCCCCCCCCCCCAAAAAAAAACTATTATTAGTACGCCTTTTGGCGTCCTCTGGTCTAACACCGTTTGAGACTAAGCTCAAAAGAAAGCTGTCTCTGGTGTGGACCAATCAGTTTCAAGGACAATGCATTTATTATTATCAGAGTATGTTTTTTGTTTGCATTCTGACCACAAGTATTGTGGTTAATGCAGACATGATTCCTAGTAAAAGGTTTAAGTTTGGTGTTTTAACATCTTAACACCTGTTTTGTTGCCAGAAAAAAGGGGAAAACCCTATTATCATATACTAGCGGTAAGTACCCGGCGTTGCCCGGGCGAAAAAGACAGACACACACATGGACTTACACACAGACATCGACCCGCACACATAGAAACACATCGACTTACACGTACACACACACATATGGACTCACACAGACATCGACTTTAGACACACACACATTTAGTTACACACACAAATCGACTCACACACACACATAGACTTACACACACATATCGAATCACACATAAATACATAGACTCAACAACAACAACAACCGCTATTCGCCACTAAGTGGCGGTGACGTCACCACGACGCTTGTGCCAGGCTAGGTGCACCTTGAGGCTACCACGTGAAGTGTCGAACGCCCGCTGGCAGGAGGTCACGGGGCAGACCCAGGTGCCACGGGTCGACTGACTCAGATGACTGGCTGATGCACCACCTGTGCCCCCTACTGTGCCAGGCTAGGTGCACTAGGAGATCACGGGGCAGACCCAGCAAGTGCCACGGGTCGACTGACTAAGATGACTGGCTGATGCACCGCCTGTGCCCCCTACTGTGCCAGGCTAGGTGCACTAGGAGGTCACGGGGCAGACCCAGCAGGTGCCACGGGTCGACTGACTGAGATGACTGGCTGATGCACCACCTGTGCCCCCCTACTGTGCCAACCTGCTGCGCTTTAGCCACCCGGCGCTCCGCTCGTTGTTGTGAGCGTCGCTCCTCCGCCCTCCGTTGTTGTTATTATTATGAATGTTAATTAATTTGTCGCGAAAGCCTCCCGACGTGTTAAACCGCTGCACTCGCGCGCCCCCTATTCACAAGGGCGCACGCAGGCACGCAGGCCAAGACGACTCGCGGGGGCTTGCGTCTCGCCGTGGCCGCAATGACACCCATTGAGAAGGACAAGGAGAACGGGAAGGAAAACGACCGCGAGAAGGACAAGGAGAAGGACAAGGAGAAGGAGCAGCGAGGCGCCAAGAGGCCCATCGTGCCCGCCACCATCCCCGAGTCCGTGCCGGAGGTGAGCGCTGCCGTCCGCTGCGCACGGTGCCGGCTCAGCCTGGTCACGCTGCCGCGAGCGATGCGCCTCCCTCGGTAGGGAATCTAGGCGAGCGGCGTGGGGTTCGCGTGGCCTAGCAACTCAAAATTGTTTTTTAATTGGGCCGGTTAATTCATAATGTAATCGTGATGCGACTGTGTGAGGGTGTTACCCCCCCCCCCCACCGTGGCGAGGTTGCTCGCTATAAATGTAGTTTAGATACGGGCGTCAATGCTGAACCCTTAAGAGTGCCTTAGTCTGCCTCTATGAACCGCGTTTACACAATTAACATGGAAACATAAGAATTGCAGTGATGCATTCTATTCCGCCTCAACCGGTGTTGAACCGAACGCGCCAAAGGTCCCCAAGGGTGCCTCAGTGTGGATCTATTCAGCCTCGTTCATTAACATTAAAACCCCGACAATACCACACGGACATTCGCACCGCGGCACCCTGATGAGTCTTAGGTGTGTCGTGTCGTCTGGCTCTATGTGAGCCTCGTGCCTGATTAACACTGCAACGTGCGAATTCTATAAGATTGTCCCTCCCTACCCCATCGCTCGATCCACGCGATATCATTCAAACATGTTTGGTTTGGCACTGCGTGGCCAAATCCATTAACACTTGATCATAAAAACGCACAAGGGGTACGTTCGTCTGGCACTTTGTTAACGCTCAATGGGTGATCAATATCCCGTAAGTGTTTACCTGGTGATAATCGGAATTTACATACATATATTCTACTCCTTTTGGTTCTTTCGGTAAAGTCACGTAGAAAGAAAATCAATTAAGTAATAGAATACGACGTTTCGATTGCAACGCAAGCAACCGTCATCAGGCAGAACTAAATTTGTTAATTTGAGAGACAAAACACTAAAGTCGTATTGTATTATTTTATTTATTTTCTTTCTACGTGACTTTACCGACATAATCAAAGAGTACCAATTCCTGCAGTCACGAAAGCTTCAAATAAATATCTCCTTTAAAAGTCTCCTCCTATCACCGACCGAAGGGAACATTGATTCCACATTCCTTTGGTAGGCAAAGTGCATCCCGCAAACACTCTCTCGTGTCAGTCTAGTGATTGTTAACGGGACCGTGTTGTGCCGCTACAGAGTATACACGCGCAAGTGATGTTACGGTGACTTGTGTGTGCGTGGCGTGGTAATGCTGGCCACCCACCCACCCCCTTCATCGTGTTGTGCCGCAGTGCCGGCCTCCGTAGCTTTGCTGCTCACTGACAGCACTCGCCCCCACCCCCCCCCAACTTTAGGCTACACGGGGCTATCTTTGCCTTTTGTCTCCTTGTTCTCCACCAGCAAATCCGCACCAACTTCATCGTGGTCATGCACCCCGGCTCCACCACCTTGCGGCTGGGTCGAGCGTCCAGCATGCTGCCCATCAGCCTGCCCCACTGCATCGCACGGAGGCACAAATCCGCCGGGCAGCCCTGCTACGAAGACCCTTGGTTGCTCAGGGATGGCCTGGACGTGAGACACGTTCTTGAGTCGGTGCTATTGTGCACGACCTGCGGTGTGGCGGCCACGCGGGGTTTTCGCGGTTGCGTTGTAGCTGTAGCTAGCCCCTCGGGATGTATTTTTATTTCATTCAGGGTGATGTCTGAACGTTTCGCTGCACTTGCTTGGGAGCCTTGTTCAGGAACTGAATTTAGTTCTGTTCAGTTCCTACTGAACTCCCCAGCACATCGAGCGCAAACGTCGGACATCGTGCTGAATGCGCACGTATGTATGTTTAACTTCTTTTGCACCGTTCGTAACCAACCGTGCTTATCGGAGGTGCGGGAAACGACACAAACGGTACAACCCAAAATCCCATCCGAGAGTTTAATGCAATGTTAAACAACTCCAGTCCGTGCGACCACCCTCATGCATACATGTCAACCCCTTATCATTGCCTACATTATTCAGACCAATTCAGGCCTTATTGGTTACCCTGTGCCCTTGTAACTCTCAACTTTCATTCTACAAAGTCCTATCACAAGGGAGAAACACAAACACAGACAAAAGTATGATTGATTTTTTTTTGCCGTATTGAAACGGCTCTACGCCGTATCGACCTGAAAACTCAATTTCCCTGTACAAGAATATGGGTAAACCGTATGGGTTGACAGGTATGCTCATAGTGCACCATTCTCTGATTACAAACCAGCAGATGCAGTGCACAGTGGCTTAATATACCAAGGCATGTAAAATGTTGGTAATCTCGGAAAGGCAGCAGTCGGGAATTGTGATGTCTGAAATTAAGAATCTCTGCTTTAATTTTCACAATTCGGTGTTCCAATTTGATTCTTATTAAGCCTGTTTTTACATCTGCTTTGCATTGTATATGCCATATATTAATTATTGTGCTTTTTATTCGTGACAAATAAATTATATAAATAGTAAAGTAGTGAATGATTAACTCTTCAATGCATTATTTGATGCATGTGTTGTGGTTGATTAATCTTTGCATGCCTGTTCATGAAGTAACCTTTTGCATTGTTTTGAAGTCAGTTACTGGCATTGTGGGCAGCAGAGGATACTGGGCATCTGTGAAAAAGAGCTTCATGGCTCATAAATTTCAGCAAATCGCCCGATGAAGCTGGTTGTAATCACCAGCGAAACGTTGTACTCAAATTGTAAATGTGGGTTTACTCTCTAACACACCGGTGTGCTGAAGTAGTCACTAATTGTCATTTTTGTTTCCGTGACAAACCGGACGAATTGGCTGTGTCGGGTAGTGGTGGATTATAAACGCATTTATATATTTACGACATCTAACCCAAAAAAACCTTTATTATGAATGAACCTGTTAAAATAGGTGAATAATGCGAGCTTTGTACATAATAATGTTTGGTTTTGATGGTGAGCTGTACAAGAGCCATGAGCAAAGATGTGTCGTGCAATATTTCACAGAGACAAGAGAGTAAAGAGCAGAGGCAACATGGACTTAAGATGGTGGAGCAGGCAATCTGGTCTCGCAAGATGTCCAACGGGGCTCGCCGAATCCCCACCCAACCGGACCAGGTGCGAGAGTGTTGCACTCTGCCACTAACCGATGGTGACACACAGCTGTACCCCCCCCCCCCCCCCACTGCTTTATACTCAACCTAATTCAGAGGACCACATTTTATATGAGCTTTGTGTTATACAACGCAATACAATTTTAATGTATATAACACCTTTGTGCAACTGCTTTTCAAGCTTTTCTGCACACGCTGTGCATATTCTACTAACTATTAACTACTAACTTGTAATTTACCGGGTAAGGCCCATTGAGTTTGTTTAGCTCTTTTTTAAAAGCGACCTGGCCACAAATGATAGCTCAACGAAGTGGCGTATCACGTGTAAATTTATAGCAGCCAAATACTCTTAAACGCACGTTGATTATAAATGTTGAGGTGAAAAACCGGAGGACCCGCAGGAAAATCTACGCGACCACGGGGAGAACATACAAACGTCAAATATACAGGCATCGGGTCAGGATCGAACCTACGACCTGTATACTAGGTGAAGTAGTTAACATTTTGCCACCGTGGCACCCTTATAGAGAGAGGGCTATCCGTTTCAGCTGTGAGGGGAACACTTCTACTGTAGCAGCAGAACATGATAGTGATAGAGCTTGTGATTCAGTGGCGAAGAGAGAGCGTAATAACATAGTTTACAGTCTCTCTTGATACCTGTGGCAATTGGTAGTTCTTGGGTGCAAACTCCCTCCGTGATGTCCGATCTTCCACTTCATTCCGTTGTTACGGGCCCCTTATCCTTCACGACATTAAGAAATTAAATTTCGATTTAAAGCTTTCGTGACTGCAGGGATTCATATTTTTGTTTCTATCGGTAAAGTCACGTTGAAGGGAAATAATAAAATAAAAAGTTTTCCACAATTATTTTATTATTTCCCTTCAACGTGACTTTACCGAAAGAACCAATAATATTAAGACATTAGTTTTACTGCATCTTGGCCTCTTTGCCCATTCACATCGTTTGCCTGTTCTGCATTGTTCTAATCAGACTTTTCTCCTGTTCTGTATTGTTCTAATCAGACTTTTCTCCTGAATCTGCCCTAGAACATCTTAATTTATGAGAATAAATTTTCCCCTTTTTTCTGGCAACAAAACAGGTGTTGAGATGTTAAAACACCAAACTGAAACCTTTTACAAGGAATCAAAACTTATTCTCATATTTTGGTACTGGCAAAGGAGGTCCCATGATCTTAATTTATCTTTCTCTCCATCCAACTGATGTTCTCCATTCTACGCCATACCCACATTTTATGACTTCTTATTAATCGTTTTTCTCACTTCAAGTTTTTTTCCCCGCATAGAGTGTCACACTCCATCTGAATGCAATTTTAGAATACTTTGTGCAAAGGGCATTTAACATAAACATAAAACCATGACTACGGAATGCTGCCGTGCAATGGTTAAACGTTGAATCTTTATACATCCCACAGTTGGCTGGCTACAACAGCAGAGTAAAGCCAGTAGCCCTGGAATCCAGCTCTTCAACAAGATGGACGAACGTATCCCACAAACCAGAGTTTCTCATTGGGGACGAGGTAAGTGACCTCGCTCATTGTGACACCAGGAATGTGTAAAACTGTACACGCTTATTGAATACGCTGTTAGTACACTGCATTGTGTCTCAATTGGAATCCTGACCATGGCTATCACTGGCAAGTGATAATTAATTGAACCGCTAAATGTTGTCAAACAACTGTGATGACTGACACAGCATGGGGAGGCATTCATCCAAGAGTTGATTCACTTATTTTGTTCAACCAGGTGAGAACACGACAGACCATGTTAGTCTCATTTTGAGGGTGACCTGGTTCACCAAAATGACAGAAAGGAATAAAACATAAAACAAAATCAGAGCAGAACAACTGTATTATAAGAGTAAGAAGAAATACTGCAGTGTATTAATCAATATGTATGTATGTTGAACTTCCGTTGCACCGTGCGTAGCAAACCGTGCTAATCGAAGGTATAAAATACAGTTTCCTGTCACGTAAATTAAATCGGGTCAAATTATACTCTTTTGTTCTTTCGGTAAAGTCATGTCGATAGAAAATTAATAGATCACGACGTTTCGATCGCAACACAAGCAACCGTCATCAGGTGAAACAAACACAGCAGGAGAACTGCTGACTTAGGAGAAACAGCTGCTGCAACAAGAGTTTATATATGCTTTTTTGAAACGGTACGTTAATCCTGTCTGCCATACCAGGCACTGCATGTGAACAAGGCCGAAGGCTACAATTTGCATTGGCCCATGCGGCGTGGGCGGCTGAACATACACGGTGGACCTGGAGGGTCTCTGTCGGCCGTGCTGGCCGATCTGGAGGCCATCTGGATGCAGGCCATCCACCGGTACCTCGACATCTCTTCAAGTGATGTCAAGGTACGCTCCTTACACCCTGCATCATGCCCCACTTTGCTTATGCACGGCTCCACATTTTGCGTTTTGAAGGATGCTGCCATGGTGTAATGCTTTTATCTCCTGGTGTAGTAGTTAAACAAATGGGCAAGATCCCTTAAATTCCTCCCCGCCACCTCTGTCCACCCAGCAGTATAAATGGGGTACACCACAGGTAATCGGCCTGTTGCGTGCAGTGGGGTAAAGTTTGGGTGTTCTCAGGTCTTCCAAGATGTCTGACCAGCATGGCAGAGTAGGCCGAATACCCATAAGTGGAGCTCTCGAGGGCTCTCGCGTTGAGGTCCTTCTACCAAAAGTGGCATGAAAAAGCAATTGTAAAAACCATACATCTTATCCATATATTTTATAACATATTTCTGGATCCAATGCAAGACCTGTGTCTTTCTGCTGTCTCAGTATTACAGGTGCATCCTGCTTATTCCTGACATCTACAACCGACAGCATGTCAAGGAATTGATGAACATGCTGCTGACAGGAATGGGCTTTGCAGGTAAAATTGTATTTATTTAAATTTACAACTTTGCACATTGCAAAATCCACCACATGCCGACAAGCAAATCGCCTTCAATGCCCCAAATCTCATCAGATTTCGGAAGCTTGAGGAGGATTTAGCATGATTCGTACTTGGATGGGAAAATGTAAATACTGGCTGTTGTAGGCTTGGATTTTTTTTATCTATCTGTACGGAGCTTTCAGTGCAATCCCTTGTATGTGTGGGCTTTCTCAGGATACTCCGGTATCATCCCATATGCAGAAAACTCGTGAAAGGAATTGGCTAATATCCCATTGTTGCAGGGTCCTCCTTGCTATTTGCTTTGTTTACAAAAAAGTAGATCCACGTGCAGTGACATTTCCTAATCTGGCAATTAAATACTTAGATTAAACCATTTTTTTTAGAGTTATCGCCTCAGCTAGTTGAGAAAAGTGTTTGCGTACGTTAGCCTGATGTATGGCTGAAGAACCTGTGGCTTACAGGCCACATCTGAGCCGCAAATTCATTTCATACGACCCTCGGCCACATGTGGCTTTACTACCTCTAAATGACCCGTCAACAATATTCTGTCCATCAGATGCACTGGTCGGATACTAGGGGAAAATATTTTACACCCAGCAACAACGCTGTTTCTAATTGTAGCGTACTTGGCCACTTCTGTCGCAAGGAACGATGGGTAATCACGACAAGCGGTCTTAATACGGGGGTGACGCGCGTGTTCCATTTGTTGTTCAATGATAACTGCTGCACCGAATATCATGCTCTTGTGGAACAATCATCTTGTGAGAGCAAAGCAGGTGCGGGCATCACATTATTAGTTTTCTTGGTTGTTATTGGATAACACTGAGATGTGTCTTAGCCATATTTGACTCTCAGTAAGGAAAAGGTTCCCGACCTCTGCTCTCCAGCGACGCAACCTGGGCAATAACTAAGGATGTAGAGAAGATGATCAATGTCATGGAAGTCTATCAGACGGTGCCTAGGCGCAGCATAGTGCTGTGCATATAAGTTAATACCGTGGATGAAGTTACGGATAAAATAGTAATCATTCGCCTGATCATTCAACGTGAACACGTATTATTAACTCTTGCGAATCCGTGTGAAGCGCAGTAGTATGTAATGGGGTTATTGGTTAATTGCTCAGGCACCTTCCAGGTGGCTGAGCGGTAGAGCGTACGGCTCGCAACCGGAATGTTAGCAAGTTCAATCACTGGTTGGGGGTCGACTCAATCCATCATCCCTCTGGCACCGATAAAATAGATATACCACTTTGTAGGGAAGTCAACAGTGCAGAGACTCGCCCCTGTCATAGTAATATGGAACTTCCATCACTGTAAACAGATTAGGGCTGTAACCAACACTCGCTACAATTCAGGGCTCTCGAGAAGGAAATCTACATGCCTTTGGCTTGCTCAAATGAGGGAATGAGAGCGAGAGTTAAAGACTAAGAAGCCACTGGAGCCCCGCACTTTTAAATCTAGAGTGAAAGTCATTTCTTTAGAACTGATTTTTTTGTTTAGTTTGTTGTCCTTTCCCCCGCACCTCCGATTAGCACGGTTGGCTACGTACAGTGCGAAAGAAGTTCAGCACGCATACATACTGAGAGTGTGTAAGGAAAGCGTTCCCCGTCTCGGCCGCACTGCCAGTCGTAAGCGGTGTGTGGACTTGCTGTCTGCATGCAGGCGCCATGGTCCACCAGGAGTCTGTGTGTGCCTCCTTCGGCTGCGGACTGAGCTGCGCGTGCGTGGTCGATATCGGCGATCAGAAGACCAGCATATGCTGTGTGGAGGATGGCATATCTCACCGACACACCAGGTGGCCACGGCGCTCTTTCCCTCACCAGCGTGGGCTTCATTAAATCAGGAAGATGTTAACCCTTTCCCGTTCCGATGACGTAGGTGCACAGCAGTGGGTTCGATCCCGATCCTGACACCTGCTGTATGTTTGGAGTTTGCGTGTGTTCTCGCTCCCCGTGGTCGTGTGGATTATTTTCCGGGGTCCTCCAGTTTTCCCCTCCACATTTAGAAACATGCTTTTACAGTATTTGGCGGCTATACATTTACGCATAAGCCAATTCGTTGCGCTATCATGTGTGGCCAGATCGCTTCTTAAAAGAGCTATATCGCTCAGTGGGCCTTACTTGGTAAAAATAAAAACTATATTTTTTTAGCTTTTAGAAAATGATCATACGAACATTTGAAATGCTGATCTTCAAAGAATGATGCATCGATCATTCTTCTGTTCCAAAAAGAAGACAAAACTGATAGAACAGTTACAGAACCATTGGCCTCCTCTCATGCATTTAAATAGCTTATTACTTTAAGCATCGTTTATTTTGCATGTGTTGTTAGCCTCTCCAGGCTAACATCGTTGTGTACGTGTGTGTATGTCTGACCAAAACGCAGGCTCTTCTTGGAATACGGAGGCTCGGACGTGACGCGTTGCTTTTATTTGCTGATGCAGCGATCGGGATTTCCCTACAGAGAGTGCCAACTCGCAAACCGCATGAATGCATTGCTGCTGCAGCAGCTCAAGGAGAACTTCTGTCACCTGGACCAGGTGTGGACACTAAACTGCTGGGGTTACTGCATATATCGTTGAGTGTCATGTCATCATCATCATCTTTAAAAGCCATGGTCTATCCACGGCTGGATGAAGGTGTCCCAAAGCCGTCGCTATCTCTCATGGTCTTGTGGTGGATCGATTATCTTGCTCCTGCGCACAAGCTGATTTCTGCATTCCATCTCTCTGGTGGAGGTCCTGTCACCCGTGTTACCCGCCTTTGACCATTGGTCATAATTCCTTCTTGTCACATGTCCTGCCCAAGGCCACTTCCTTTCTTAAATCAATACAGTGTATATGTTTGTTCGTTGAACTTCTTCCGCACCGTACGTAGACAACCATGCTAAATCGGAGGTGCGGGGGAAGGACAACAAACTAAACACAAAAGGCAGAGTATGTTCTCTGATCCATGAGTTCCGCTCTTAGTCTAATTTCAAGCGTGCATATCTCCTTCTTGCTTCTTTGCACACTTAGGCTTTTGTTACGTTTTTCTCCGTGCTGTCAGTGCTTGAATTGACCGCCTCGGTTCACTTGCCCCAAACAGTAAAGTTTCACGTCAAATGTTTGTGCAATTCTTTTAGGATATCTCAGGTTTTCAAGACCATGAGTTCCAGGTGAGGCAGCCAGACTCCGTGGCCCTGCTTTATCAGTTCAAACTGGGCGACGAGAAGCTCCAGGTGAACTACCCCACACACACACGGCCGCCTTGTCAATTCACTCCTGGATGAGGGTCTCTCCGCACTCTGCGGGGTCATGGGATTATTTGACCGCACTTCACGCTTGTCAGCGCGAGTACTCAAGGCTGGGATCCACCGCTGTAGGAGCATGGAAGGAAAATGACAATGGATTGTGCTGCACTGCCCTCTGGTCACTCACTAATGTAGCCCCGCAGCCTGTAACACCTGTTACGCTTGATGGTCGCCCATCGACTCGCCGCAGACTTATCCAAGCATCGATTGCTAGGTATGACAAGATCTGGGAACATACTCGATGATTTGGTCATAGGGAAACTACGCTACCTTACACGGGCGTCTCCAATTCTAATGCAGTAATGCAAACACGAGGTTTCTTCTTGCCTTCGCAATGTGTGTGCGCGCTTGCAGGCACCGATGTCCATGTTCTATCCGGCCGTGTTTGGGATCGTGGGTCAGAGAATGACCTTGACCCAGCAGAGGTCACAGGGTGACCCAGAGGACCCGTATGATGAACACTACCTCTTGGCCACCCAAAGCAAGCAGGAGCAGGTGTGTGTATTCTTTGCACTCAAATTTACATTTCAGTGGTCTGTGCTTGGCCCTGCCATCGTAATGTGAAGTCTCCACCAATGGTTCAGGGATGTAAACTGGGGCTGCAAACTACCACGTGATTAAGCGGTAAACCACTTAAGCTTTGAATTCATGTATATTTTATATTTGTTAAAAAGGTACTAATCAATGTTATACATGTAATTTGTCCATCTGAGAGTCGGGCTATTTCAGCTCTTGAGTATGTTTTGTTGCACAGAGGAATGAAGTGGGGGGGGGGGGGTAGGTGGATGAGGGAGGGGCTGGGGGGGAACTAAGCCACATGACCTTTCCTCCAGTCTTTGATGCTTTAGGTCAAGGATTTGCATTTATAGGGCACTTTAATGCCTCCGCAACACAAAGTGCCTTTCATCACAACCATTCCATTTCCCTGCTGCAATCAATACAAGGAGGGGACCCCCAGTGGCAGCTGTGTCGAGCATGTGTAATTGAGTTTTGGTTGTGTTGGATTTTACTTTAATAATGTTTTAGTTTCATATAGCATTTTACAATCGCCGAGAAAAATAGACAAGCTGGAAGGCGGTCAGGCAGTGAGCCGGCTCCAACAGTTGACCAAACTCTGCAGTACTCTATATATTAAGATGTTTTCAGCCAATCGTTTAGTGTTTATACACGTGGGAGGAAACTGGCCCACACGGAGAAAACCCGTGCGCGCGAGGGGGCAACACCATCCCACACAGAAGGAACAGATGATGTCGGTCCACACTTTGCAGTTAAGCCATCTGCTGGTGAACTAGAGCAGGGGTCACCAAACTTTTTTCACGGTGGGCCGGATAACTGATAGAATGACGAGCGCGGGCCGCATAATCATTCTGTTCAATACTTGGGGGGCGGGAAAGATGCGTGTTTGTGTGTTGTCATGGAAACAATGGTAACGTCAGAGCGTAGGCGGAGCTACCACGAGCCGGGGAAGGACTTGGGATGGCGTGAAATAGGCAAACATTACAATAAACAAGAAAATCTAGATACAATAATTTAAAATAGAAAATAGTAAATTTAAGGCACATAGCAGTAAGGAGGTGTCCGCACGCGTGAAGATCTCCTGGTATTCTAAACATATCTAAATTTAAATTGTATCACAACGTCTCGTGTTCCATACGTTTTATCAACCAAATTCAAGTACCGTCGGCGGGCCTGATGGACTGACGTCGCGGGCCGGATTCGGCCCGCGGGCCGTAGTTTTGGTGACCCCTGAACTAGAGCATAGCACCTAGACGCCTACGGGGAAGAATGTTTTCGCAAACACTCGTGCGTTCCACCACCTTTGCAGTGCAACAGTTTACCCCGGATGTCAGGTCAGGTCGGTGTTTTCTAATTGAACCGTTCACAACGAAACCCCCACACGGCTCAATAGTTTTTTTTTACTGCGGTTGTTAAAGGCCGCCAAAGCGGTGGCGGAGAGGAAAGCGCTGGCCAAGCACAGTGCCGCCGATTCGGAAGGAGCGGGGGCACCTGCAGAGGCGTCGGAAGGTGCCGGGCGCGCGCCCGACGGGGATCAAGGGCCGTCGAGGGGTGTGGGAGAAACGCACCACTTGAACCAGCCGGGCGCCCCCTCTCTGCTCTCCCGCAAGCTCAAGCTGGCCTCGCCGCACTTCGAGGGAAAAGCCCTGGGCCTGGACAAGGCTGTGTTGCACAGCATTGACTGCTGTTGTGAGTAGAAGACTTTCTCCTCGCGTTCCATCCCCTCGGCTCGAGAGCGGCGATGGGGCCCGAATGAACGAATGAAGTCTCCCCCACAGGCCCCCGACCGGGTGTGGCCCATTCCTAGCTTGCCTGCTCGGGTCGCACTCCCAATATTTCCTGTTCAGCGTCATTCCTTGTCGCACCGTTAAATCCGTCACGTTATTTTGCCTGCTCTGGGGGCTTGTGAAATTGACAAGTTGAGGACTCGTTATTTAATCTGTGCCCACATTTAACGATGTAGTGTTAATGCGGATGATGCGTAGGGCTCTCAAAGGCCAACGTCGGTTTTATCCACCGAATGATGAGAACGCCTCTGCTGGATGGAGTGTTGAATTTATTTTGTACAACCGTATAAAAGGGTACTGTGTATAATTTTACAAAACTAGCTTATGTGACCTTTAAGCAGTTGTTTCCAAGCTCCACATTAACAATCTGGTTCTTGTTGAAGCTGAGGACACCACACATTCACGAAAGCTACAAACCCCTTCGGAAAATCCAATTTACCGTGTAGCTTAATGCCATTACCAAGTTTGTTATAGCGATGTGCTTCAGCATTTCAGATACTCAAGAGGCCACTCCTCAAGCCGTCCAATGGCTCGCTCGCCAACCTCAACAGTAACATGTGTTCCCTGTAACCTTCCTTAGCCTCGGAGGAGACTAAGAGGAAGATGTACAGCAGTATACTGGTGGTGGGTGGGGGACTTCTCTTCCCGGGAGCCCAGGAATTCCTCCAGCATCGCATCATCAACAAGATGCCACCCTCTTTCCGCCGCCTTGTGGAAACCGTGGAGGTCATCACACGACCAAAGGTGCACCAAATGTTCCAGACAAATGTTAACGGCTGTTGTCCAGTAAACGTTCTTTCGCCTTTCACGTTAATTAAAAAAAAGGATTTTTTACACAACCCACCGGCCCCTTGACTTACACCTGCAGCGGTCTTCATTTTTCATATATCGTTTAAAATAATAACTATTAAAAATCCCAACGAAAAATGCTACAATTGTATTTTTTATTTTGTAAGCCATTCTCTGGCATCCAGGGTGGTAGCTGAGTGGAGTAGTCCACTTGTTTCATCAGTGTCATGCCTGACACGGTTGAGAGCAGGCCACTGTCATCGGGGCGGAGAGAAACCAGACTGTTCCTTTAGCAGTCGTCAGCCAGGACGAATCCCCAGCTGCAATTTGCTTGTGTGAAGGTGTATTGTTACACTGCAGGGCTGTCGAGATGATTCAATGTGAAGGGCATCTTATTAAAAATCTGTGTTGCCTAAAGGGACGTACCCTACAGACGAGGCACATTTATCAAACGATTGACAAACACTTGCCGATTACATTTTAAAAGGGTGCCGTTTACACGCCACGCTTTGTTATAAGCAGTTGGCGTCGCCAGTCGGCCGCATGCAAGGATATGCTTGCTCGTAGGCCGTAGGCCCCCCAACGCTGCCGACGAACGAGTATTTTAATAATTTCTCCACCGCCTCCGCCAGCTGTTGCACACCTAATAAAGCCGCGCGTGTGGTTTCCGTTTCTTTGACAGGACACGGACCCGCGGCTGACCGCGTGGAAGGGCGGCGTGGTGCTGGCTTGCCTCGACACGGCGCAGGAACTGTGGATTCACCGGCGCGAGTGGGAGCGGTTCGGAGTGAGAATGCTGCGCGAGCGAGCGCCGTTCGTTTGGTGACTCCCAAGGCCACCGCCGCTGTTGCCCGAAGCTGCCTGAAGCCACTTACTTGCATTGGCACCGCAGAGGAGACTAGATAACCCAAGTTTACGGATCGGGAACTGTGTTACACCTTTTCCATTGCCACGTACGCGTGCCGAGCCAGTGCGGGGGGGGGGGGGGGGGCCCTCGTGATACGGGGTGGTTTTCCCATTGACTGCCATGCCGAGTTGGAACCAAACCGTAATACGCTGGCCTCTGAATCTGGCTCGTGGAGAGGGGCGCGAGGCTCATGACCCTAATTGCGTGCGACTCCATCATACATGAAGAGGATGAACAAAATGACATCGAGCAATTTGAAGCCTTGGGGGGGGGGGGCTGAAGTGTGTGTGTTCATCATAGGTGCTCGCTAACAGCACTTGCCCCAACAGTCTAAGGCTGATCTTTGCCTTGTTTATCAGTTTGTATGCGTATATCCGTTTGTGCGCGACTGCGTCATCCACATGCATCTTGATATTCGTGCATTGCATGCCAGGTCAGCGGCACGGCTCTGCTTCTGCAGTGAAAAAACAACCCCGTGCCCTCCTGAGCCATGCCAGCTCGGCAAAGCCCCGGCAGCAAGGTTTGGATGTATTAGTGTGAAAGAGGTCGAGGTAAAACCCTGGAATGTTACGCTAAGTTGATTGTTCCGTGCAGTTTTATATAAGGGGTCATAGGCTTGGATATGGAATAAACGTGTCATTTGTTTAAAGCACGCTATGTAAAGGATATAAAATGTATATATGAATTAAAGCTTGTATGATTGGCTTAAAAATGATTGATTAAAATAACTGTCTACAGTGCACACGTGTTTCGCTGTAAACATGAAAAGTTGTATATATTGTTGAAAATTGAACGGTGGTTATCGTATCGGGGTTTAACGCTTTTTTTGTTGTGGTGGGAATAAAGTTGTTCGGGGTGGTTTGCAATTTTTATTATAGAGTTTATTTCAGCAGTTTACCCTCAACAGTACAAAGCTTAAAGTGATCATGTTCAGCAACATTGTTTTGTAGTGTTTCTAGAGTTATGGTACTAATATCAAATGTGCATAACTGTGCACAAAGTTATACACATTGTAGATCGAAAGACACGTGACCAGTCCATGTACCTCAACATTCCTAAGCAAGGGAATTTGGATAAAAAAAATGGGTTCCTTTGACAAAGATCATCAGCATAATTTCCAACCGGTTGCAAAAATAATTATCCAGTGTAAATCATCTTGCATGAGTATTCGTTTCTAAATCAGAAAAGACTTAGTCTATAAATGTAAAAGTGTCATTAAATAGTAGTTTCCCCTTTCTGGCAACTTAATGGAAATGCAACCCAGTAAAGTCCAGTTATTTCTACTGTCTTTGGAGCATCACTTGCATGAGGTGCTTCATTGCATCTTCTGATAATGGGGCATCTTCATCCCCAAGACCCTCACCACCTGAACAGCCGCGTGAGCTACTTAGATCGTCGTGTAACCCCACGTGTCCATCGCCATACATGGACAAGCATTGATCTCCAAGTTGTGGCGGCAAATTGACGTCTGCGTGAACGTGATACATCTCGGGGTATACTGGAGCCTGGTGGCAGAACCCATCTGGAAACTGCACGAAATGGACTTCTGGCGGTAATCCATTGGGCATGTCCGGTCCCTGAAACGGCTGGTGAACAGGATTACACATTGCGGCAGAACCTTCGTTTAACGGAGCGGCGTGAACCATAAGAAGTGGGTCCGAAACACCGCAGCCGCAACTTGGTGCAAACTGCAAGCTGCTGTATTGTCCCTGTGCGTCATCATTCATGGTTTCCAACATTACTGGTGGCTGAATGTTGCACTCTGCAGCGAGGCAAACATTTCCCACTGGAACGGTGTGCATATTGACGGCCTCTGTAACGCTGGGCTGTAGATTGTCATTTCTGTAGCTTGCAGACGTAAAATCTGGTTTCACATACAGCAGCCTCGTTTCCAGCATCCTAATGCCTTCCGCACCGTCATCACCTGCGTCTTCACTTTCTTCTCCCGGAGCGTCGTGATGATTACCGCTGGTCTCTTCTTCGAACCAGTGTGGGTGCTCTGCTTTCCACTGCCTGAACTTGTCCAGTGCCGCCTTCAGTTCCTGGCCGCGTCGGTCCGTGTGGTAATTATCTCCGGAGACGCTAGGGACGCTGTAGTTGGCGCCCGGCGCGTGCTGCTCCATGTTATGAATCCGAAAGAAGAGCTCTTCCGAGTGCTTCATGAGTTTGTATTTAACGGTCACGTGCAATGGAAGGGGAATGTCCTTGCTGCTGCTGCCGTCGTCAAAGTATACCACCAAGTACTTTCCGTACGAGCCCCGTTGGAAGTCGCCAGCGATTAGGCTCATCGCCGGGGTGAACGTGTCTCCCAGGGGCGACTTTGCGTCCTCCTTGAGTGTGATTTTCGCGGACGGGCAGCACATTGCTTGCCACTTGGCCTGGGCTCCCTTGGAGCACACTATGATGATGGCCACGTCCGGGTCATTGATATACTTGGACAGCCACGGCAAGTAGCTGACGTCTGCGATGTTGTTCACTTGCCAGAGGTCAAGGACCACTTCAACGTTGCAGTTTCTCTGCAGAAAATTTGCAAATTGGTGAACGATGTCTCGGAAAAGCGCGTGGTCCTGGGAGTAGACGATCAGAACTTTCCTCGGGCTCCTCGGTGGGAAGTACTTAACTTCTGGTGTGTTGCATCTTGTTCCACCTGAAATATGAAAGAACATGTTAACACTTAACGACGAAACTAATAATTGTAAACCCTACATAAAATGCAAGACAAACACTTGCAGCTTACAATTGTGCACTGCGTGCAATAAAACTAATTACATGTGATACGGTTTATACATTTAGCATATTTTTGAGAGCCAGGCAGAGGAAAGTAATAAAATGATTGAATGACAATCAAGAGTGAGGTCACTCTTTCTCCTCTGCTGCCCCCAAGGTCGGAAAATCCCTTGCTAGCCAGGCTGTTGACTCCCTACCTCTGTTAAACTACAGGCTCAAGGTTTTCCTCCCATTTATTAACCCTCTCTTCTTTTTTCCCTAGATACCCTTACCCCATTTGCTTTTCTGTACAGCGTCTTGAAACGCAGTTGCAATTAGACACGGTGTGAATACCAATTGTTTATTGAATGTTTACTCGTGCTTTAGAGCAAGTTCTGGCCTCAACATTTTGCACGGGATAACACAAATACTCGGCCGATTTCAGTCCCAGCCTTGGACTCGCACCAAAACTTCAGACCATTCACAGGCAGAGACGGGCCCCCTGTGCTCCTCCGTTGGTTTTCCGTCGCTCCACAAATGACCAGGAATCGCACCTTGTGAAGAGCCACCGCACAGATAGTACCAGTCTGTGGTAATGTTAAATGGTGCAGCCCTGTAATTGCTCGCGCATGCCGATGCTGGCGGAAGGGCCTCCACTGGAGGGAGCTCTGGAGGGTTTTTGGTGGACTATTCCATGCTGAACATGGATGCGTTGGAAGAGGTGGGAGTGCTCACACTTTACACCACCGCACGCGACCTGCCGATTGACGAAATGTGGTGTACACATCTAGACTCTATCGGCCATCCGTCATTTCAACTGGCACGCCGGGAGATCGAATCAAACCAGCTACCCGTCTGCATTGCACTGCCGTGTTGCTTCCCGTTATGCCACGGCAGGTCCCACAGCTGTCACAGCGGCTGCAAATCATCTGTGCGGGTGGGTGACAAAACTAACGACGTCAACTTACCCTTTTTGTAATAAGCCAATGCCACGGCGAGGAAGACCATGAGGAAAATCAAAATCACAAGGATTGCGATGATCGGCGACTTCACATGTAGAGGCGGGGGCGAACTTGGCGAAGGTGGATCTGCAAACAGCACATTTCAAACGTCAGTGCTTTCCGAGGCCAGTGCATAACCGGGCGTGAGAAATTAACCGTTTTAATGTACGCTGAACTTCTTTCGCACCGTACGTAGCCAACTGTGCTAATCGGAGGTGCGAGTCGCAGGGTGTGGGTGTCCCATTCACCTCTGAATTTCGGAGCGCGCAACTCGGCTCGGCGTTAATTTTACTTCGAGAGGCATAGCGCCGTTGTTTTTTTTTTGAAGACATCGCACTCATCGCAGAGAACCGTAGCGACACGACCGCACTCAACGATTGCTGGCGCCAAACTGTGCCACACGTCCTCCCGCATGGCCTTGTGGGAGCCTCGGTACCAACAAAGCTACTTAATTTTTTCTCCCGGTTTCGTTTTGATGATGTACACGAACAGCATCGGAAAGGAATCAGAAGAGAAACTGATGATGTACACGTATGTCGTCAGAAGGGGAAAAGGTTAAAATTAGCAAATGAGCTACTGCTGTGCAGGATACGTACAGAATGAAAAGGTTTTGATAAGCTCGTCGCATGCATCTCCGCAGAGTGCAAAATGTGGCTTCAGCTGTGAAGAAACAATACATGTTGTCAGTAACAAGCTGCCAAGCCAGTCCATTTCGGAAGCCTTCATTCCGTCAGGCGATTCGCAGATTTAATTTTGTTCGTGAAGTTAGCGTCGAAAATATTATTTTAAAAAGTGTTCTTCGTATTTTGATTCTAGTCAATTGTGACTGAGTGGACTGAAACCAACAAGCGTGAGAGATGACGACTGCCCATCACTGACTGTGATGAGACAAAATTAACAGGTCTGAATGGAGATGCAGACATATCATTTACAAAATAGATAAGCAAACTGCCTCCTGTCTCCGCATAAAAATAAATGTGATTATTTTTACGCAACCCATCAGCCCTACGGCCTTCTGGGAGTTCATTTCAGCAGCATTCATTCATCAGTGCACTGAGAAAGACCCATATGGTAATTGCCTGTATATGAACACATACTTTTTGTATTGAGTTCCCAGATTGGCTGTTATAAGCACCTATCAGTAATCTTAGAAAGAAAAAAAACAGCATTAGCCACAAGAGTAGGCACTACATGTGGCCTCGGCGATTTTAATATCAATCAGTTAATTCTCTTACCGTAATTGTGTACTCTGCGTACTCAAGTGGTTTCTTGAAAGCCGTAATGTTCATCTCAATCAGCTCTGCTATGTCCTACCAAAACAGGTGTTGCGTGATCGCACGTTAATTCGAGCACATGATGTGGGCATGCCACCAACCAAAGCAACGATAGAAATAAACATCTGTGACCAGTATGCACAATATTCTGAAGTCAAATGTCCCCCTTTACTTCACACCGGTTTGCATTGCAAACTAATGGAAAATATTAACTCCCAGCTATTTTATGCAATGGCCCTGCTGGCCTTGATGAATGCGGGCGTACGCAGAGGAAGCTGGGAATACCGTGGCAGGGATAGTGTAAGCAATCCAAATAGAATAGTTGCAACGAGGAAGAGGAGGTTGAAATGGGAGGAGCATGCACATGTGCAGGATGGAGGAGGGCAGGTCGTGGCAACAGGAGCGACCAAGGGAAGGGAAGGATTAGAGCCGGTTGGTGGGGATCTTGTAATTGTGGTCCTCAGAGGCCAATTGTCAACTCTGCAATCGCTATGGGATCTGGCAGAAGGTGCAACGGCATCGACGCCAATGAATTTGAACCTGACCAAAAATAAAGCTTTAATTAAGTTACCGTGTGAATTTTATAGTGAGCCGTCTGAAATTGTGATGTACTGGAACATACTATGCTAGCCGAATTCAAAGCAATAGTAATTGCAGTCCTTTGTCAATCCACAGTTGGATGAAGGCCTCACCACGTCGTGTCAGTCATCAGGATTGTTTGACGATACTTCGCCACGCTGGTCAGTGTGGGTCGGTGGA